GGTGGAGGAACACCTGGAAAGGTGGAGGTCTGCTCTAGAAAGAAGAGGAATGAAAGTCAGTCGTGGTAAGACAGAATACATGTGTATGAACGAGAGGGAGGGAAGTGGAACAGTGAGGTTACAGGGGGCTGAGGTCAAGAAGGTGCAGGAGTTTAAGTATTTGGGGTCAACAGTCCAGTGTGATGGGGAGTGTAGGAAAGAGGTGAAGAGGCGAGTGCAGGCAGGTTGGAGTGGGTGGAGAAAGGTGTCAGGAGTGTTGTGTGACAGAAGAGTGTCAGCAAGGATCAAAGGCAAAACATGTAAGCAAAACATGTTCCTCACAATTTTGGAAAGGCTATAATTTGCAATATCACAGTGTGTAACATGCAGTTTCTCACATTTCTTTGTGTTATATTCCGGAAGTACAGATATTGACACCGTTAATCACAGTTTGTGTCAAAGGAAAGCATGTCCACTGTTGTACACAGTTTTGTTATTCATGATAACAATCTTTTTTATCTGGTGGGTCCTAGTGGATTTACAAAACAAAACATCTGGGATAATGATTTTGGATAGATGGTGTTTTGAAAAGTCAAAAGAAATATCTGCTTTACATCACCAGTAAGCTCCGCTGAGAGCCAGAAAATCAATATTCTAGGTGCCTGTTTTATAGCATTAATCATAATTTTAAAAAGTATATCAAATCATTTGAGGAAAGAAAAATTGAAATCCTAAAACACTCAATGAGCACTAGACCTCAGTCTTTGACTTTATTAAGTTAACTTGACTGTGAAACACAGGTGATCTGTCTTTTAATAGTTGAAATGGTATAAAACTCATAATTTGAAAATAAGCATGGAAGTACAACAATTTAGGGGAAAAGATTTGACCTACTGTAGATTCTTTACAAGCACACTATCAGTTTGAATCACTTTACTTTGAATGCCAATCAGATGATTTTGTCATTCTGATGCACAATCCAGACCTAGTATATATGTAATCTATGTATCAAGTACAGTAAAAGAAGTCTCCACACCTAAAGCCTTAAGATGTTTTGTGAAATTTATGTGTTCAGGTTTTAATAAATCATGAAAGGATGCACAACCTCAAGTTAGAAATCCTTTAAATGTACTAATTTTAACAGACATTTAATGCATCTGTAATTGCTGCTTAGTTAGAACTGCAGCCACGGAGATGCCCTGTCTCTGAACATGGCAAATGCACTGATGACTTAACTTTCCTGGCATTTGGAATATTAGGTATTGAAACAGCTCCTGTACATTGTGTGGTGGTCTTACCGTTGAGCTCAAGTCGTACAGTAGTATGGGAACATTGAACCAGTACATTAAAGCCCAAGACAAGAAAATGAGTTTAAGTAGATTTTCACTTTTCTGCATTAATCTCTATCACTCTGTCTCTTCTAGCTGGTCACTGTGATGCTCCAGATCCTATAGTCAATGGCCATATTAGTGGAGATGGCTCAAGTTATCGTGACACAGTGGTGTACCAGTGCATGTTAGGATATCGGCTAATCGGCACATCAGTCAGAATCTGCCAACAAGACCATCGGTGGTCTGGAACAACACCTGTCTGTGTCCGTAAGTACTTTATGGTACCAAAACCACTATAAAATGTTTGTAGTGTTTCATAATTTACTGCTCTTTCATTTAATGGGAAAAGTTATTTTACTGTAAATCCATTACACACAAGAATCCTAAGAGAAATCACGCATTTTAGGTCTTAGGTTTAAATAACTCTTTCAGTGTTTCTGCATGTCATACTATGTTCCTGCCAAAAAATATTGTGTAAAATACAATAATGGCGTACATAATACTTTTTCCACACCTCCAGTTTCTCATGATACTTCTCCCTGCTCCCTCAGCAATCACTTGTGGTCACCCTGGCAACCCAGCCAACGGGCGCACCAATGGCAGCGAGTTCAACCTCAATGATGTTGTCAACTTCACGTGTAACAAAGGTTACATCCTCAGTGGGAATGCGCGTGCTCAGTGTCGACTCAACGGACAATGGAGCAGCCCCCTACCCGTCTGCAAAGGTCACTAACACATTTATTAACAGCGTTACAGACTTACTGCATGTACTGTGCAACCCTGTAAATGCTTTCTTCAGATTAGAGGACATATGATATGATGCTGTGGGCTTTTCTTCCACTTCACTACAGGCATGTATTAATTTTTTTAAGCTGCTGAGTAGAATATAGAATTGACAACGGAATAATTGTACCATAAATACATTTACTATTGAGCTGAATTTCACTGCAATCATGGTGGCGTGTGTACCTAAGTGTCTCTAAATAGACTAACAAACTCAAAAATGCACACACACACAGAGCTGGGTACATGTCCAGAGACCTGTTCTTCTCCTCTGCTAACCATGCATAGTCGTTGTATTATAGTTATGATACACTAAAACACAAACACACAGGCATTCTGCACAGTCATGAGAGTAGATCGATACGGCGTAGTTGCTCACATGGGTTTTCCATTGAAGGGATTCATCCTCGCTTGCTTGCTTTCTCAATCTCCTTCTTATCCCTCTCCCACTCGCTCTCCCTCCCAGCAGCAGCTGTCAATTATGAGAATGAAACTTTCTCTGTTCCCATCGGGTGCTAGGCACTCAGATGCACACACATATCCGTGTCCCCCATGGACTTGAATTTGAGTGAAAGTCTGTCTCCCCTGTGACATGTGGAAAATCAAAATCCACTGTTATTGGACTGGCATCCACCCGGAGAGCAGATCAGAGTAGAAGGGACCCAAAGAGAGAATTGAGAACAAAGAAGAACTCCAGAAAACAGAGCAGGCATGAAAAAAAGCTGTTTTGAAAAAACAGAGCAACATGGACAATCTGAATATGTACAACTGTGATTCAGAGTTTAATGCTCTAAAAGTATCCACACCAGCTTGGTGGTTGATCAGTAAAATTTCATCATGTTCAGAATTGGTTGATTATGATTAGATTCAGTTCCTGACACACACAAACAAATGCCACAGTTCACTTTACCAGGGTACAAAATCACTGCCTATTCACTATATTCGAGTTAGGAAAAACAGATAATGATAACACATTACAAACTTTCAGAAATCATGTTTTGTTTTTTGTAATTGCACACTTCAGGGAATATCAATAACAGGAGAGTTGGTGTGTTTAGATTAAGTATGAATAATTTAACAAAATACAGGTAAAATAAAATACATTTATTTTCTTGGCAAAAGCAGATGACTCCAACAGTCATGTTTTTGCAAAGAGATATAACTCTACAATGCATGAGCCAAACATTGCAATGGTCACCAGAATGTCGCCAGTTCAATCCCTGGACTAGCAGGATTAAATCTGGGTGGGATGTGTGACAAAGCAGTGCTTGTCCCACCCTCACTGACACCACTGTGGTGCCCTTGAGCGAGGCCCTTAACCCCAGCCGCTCCAGGGGAACTGCTCAGTGGCCACAGGTCAGTCTGTATGTGAACGTGGACAGGGTGTTCTTGAAATACGAAAGGAGGCTTCTCAGTGGACCTACCCTGAAAAAGTAAAGGTTTAAAAAATGAGTAGGAGTATATTGTATTTGCATTAATTTAATGAGAAAGTACTACAAACAACAACAGAAACAGCCCATTATTTATCACAGGGCACATGTACAAGGTCATACAGCTGAACTACAAAACCCATACGCTTGAATGTGCCAGTGTTTTAACCTGGAGAGTTTTAGGAGACAACACAAGCTCACTGTAGAATTTCTCTCAAATCAGCTTTTTTGGGAACTGCACTAACTGGAAACACGTATTGCAGCTATTTCCCAGCATTCCAACTACTGTTAAGTGAACTCAGTGTTCTGTGTTATTCATCTGTCTTTAAAGATTATTTTATGCTAAAATTATACTGAAGATAGCTTTCAGACATCATATCTCCATCTGAATATGGTGGCTTCCCCCTTGTATCACATGACCTGAATGCTGTGTACTGATTCGCTGAACCCGCTCTGATCAAGAACAATACTGTTGTTTAATGTTCTCCATTTTCAATAGGAAATGTGTTTTTTTTGGACAAAACAAATTGACGGGAGATTGACAGGCGGATCGGTGCAGCTTCTGCAGTAATGCGATCGATGTACCGGTCCGTCGTGGTGAAGAAGGAGCTGAGCTGTAAGGCGAAGCTCTCGATTTACTGGTCAATCTACGTTCCGACTCTCACCTATGGTCATGAACTTTGGGTTATGACCGAAAGGGCAAGATCCCGGATACAAGCGGCTGAAATGAGCTTCCTCCACATCGAGAGGAGCCAGCTGAGGTGGCTCGGGCATCTGTTTCGGATGCCTCCTGGGCGCCTTCCTAGGGAGGTGTTCCGGGCATGTCCAACTGGGAGGAGGCCCCGGGGAAGACCCAGGACACGCTGGAGGGACTATGTCTCTCGGCTGGCCTGGGAACGCCCCGGCATTCCCCCGGAGGAGCTGGAGGAAGTGTCTGGAGAGAGGGAAGTCTGGGCACCTCTGCTTAGACTGCTGCCGCCCCCGCGACCCGGTCCCGGATAAGCGGAAGAAAATGGATGGATGGATGGAAACAAATTTCAGATTTAGAATGTGCTGTTAAGAATAGCCACAGCTTCATTTTTTGAGAATGACATTTATATGTTTTTGCACTTGCAATCATTTATGGTCCTCAGAGACCCCAGTTTTGTCAAATATCAAGTTTGAAATCTGTGTACTATATGTGGCCCTAAAAATTCCACACAGTTGATCCAAAAATGTGTATCGTTTGGAATGCACATGACTTTCTGCTAACAATCCCACAGTGCAATTCCTTGTATGTTATGGATGCAAAAATTACAGTCACGCAAACAATACACGTCAGTGATAACATGTTAATAATCAGGGCTTACTGCCCATACTCAGTAACCTCTTGAGTGTCTATTATATAGGGAGCACTGAACAGTTTTTACAAATTAAGAAAGATTTTTGAAGTCTTTTTTTTTCTTTCTCTTAAATACTGCAGTATATGCAGTAGTATTTGACTTGTGTTTGTCACACATCCCACCCATTTATATACTTGAGGTTCAAGCTGTGTTTTCTGCTGTCTTCCGCAGTGGTGAACTGTACAGACCCCGGCCACGTGGAGAACGGTGTGCGTCAGTCTGGCCTGCGTTACCCAGAAATCTTTAGCTATGGTGTAACTGTGGCAATCCACTGTAAACGAGGCTTCTACCTGCTAGGCTCTGCAGTCCTCACATGCCAGCATGATGCACGGTGGGACCGACCAATCCCCCGCTGCTTAGGTATGTACAGACAAACAGAAGTCATTTGAAACAATGACAATACACATTTAGAAGACAAATGAGACAGAAGCAGAGGCAGAGAGAGCAAAAGATTGGAATTCATAGGCATATGATGAAAATATCCATCCTGTTGTGGAAAGGTTACAGTTTTTCAGAATTCTGTAAGAAACAATAAAGTCTACACAAGTTTGTCACGCTGAACACAGTTAGTCATAGGCATGTGGATTTTTATTCTCTTTATATTTGCAGGGAATGTCATTTGAACGTTTAAATGGCTTGAAGAGCCACTGGGAGGAAGATGAGGAGTGAATAAGAAACTGAGAAAATAAGAGGGGATTCAAGGGAGAAAATGGGGGCAAGTAATCATAAAAGGAGGGAGAGAGTAGTATTTGTGTTGATGTGTGTATGTGCCTGTCTACGGAAAGAAAAGGTGAGCCTGTGTCTTTTAGGGCAAAAGTTGTTCTTGTCAGAGAGATACCGTGGCTGATAGAAACACAGAGATTAAACAGAGAAGGAGGCTCACTCAGAGATGGAGAGAGAAACACAGAGAGGCGAACAGATCTGCAGAAGGAGGAGACAGTAACAGAGAAATAACAATGAGGAATTAGACAGAGAGGGAGCGAGGTGCAGACACTGGTGAGTGTTTGCAACTGCATCAAACATTACATTCAAGAGAGAAAAGGTTTCAGTGGAAAACTGGGGGGAGGGCTGATGACTGGGGGACAAGGAGAGGATGAAGTAATACAATTTGGGGGTAAAGGGAGATACAAGAGGGCCAGTCATTTGGCAGAAATAGAAAATTGAGAGCACTTTCATATCTCTGTCCTCCAGAAAGCTGTCCTCTGTTAAATGCCATTTTTTTCAAAATTGAGAGAAAAAACAAAGATTGTTTTCACTGATTCCCATTGCTTTGACTCTGTGGAACAACTTCTACCAGTTTACAGCACTGAGGAGAGGGGGAGAGATTTTTTCTCTGTTTTCTAGCTGTAGTGATTTAGATTTGAGATCAGTGGTTGTTTCTGTTTCACTCAGGTAATTAAACACAATCAATAAGCTTTACTGGAATGATTATATACTGTCATACAGTGTAAACAAGGCAGTGTGTGTTCTGTTTAATCGTGCGTATGCACAAATTATATTATTAAAATCACACAAAAAACCTTAACCAATGTGTTATGCAGCTTAACCTAAGGTTTAAGTTGCAACATACTGTAAATAGTACATGGGCTTCATTATAACTGCAGTTGAGTCTAGAGGACAGGTATATCAAACTGTTCATGATTTTATTTTACTGCATAACAGACAACCACAACATCCTCACCCCTTTTCTATGTAAGAACCTTTGTTGCATGTCATGCACCTCTCTCTTGATATCGATCTCTTCATCAAATGAAAGAAAAATGCCTTTAAAATAAAGCAAAAAAAGCTTCTTTGTTTTGTTTGTTTTGAGCAGTAAATAACAAAAATGAATTTCATCATTGACAGAGCTCACAGAGCCCTCGTTCTTTCTCTCAGTCCTGTGTGCAAACGTTTATACAAAAACAACAAACAAACAACACCACCCAGTCATCTCCTGCAGTGACCCAGCTACCTAACAGCATATGATCCTGAATCAGTAGTTAGAAAGAATCCCACACACATACACACTAACACCCTTTCTCTCTTTCGTTCAATCTCTTACTGTCTCTAGCTATTTCCTGTGGTGACCCGGGTGTACCCCCTAATGCAGTAGTAACTGGAGCCCACAGCTGGACATACGGTTCAGTGCTGCAGTACTCCTGTCTGCCTGGAGGGTTGCTGGTGGGCAACACCACTCGCCACTGTCAGGAAGATGGCACATGGAGTGGAGCGCCACCATACTGCACCGGTAAAGGCACACCAGTCCATAAATCAGTATGCTAGTCAGTCACATTGTCATTCAGTTTCACACAGGCTGTTCAAAATGGAAGGCATGTAGACTATCTGGTTTGTAGGGTGCTTCTAAGTCTAAAGCAAAAATTCTTATTGAAATCAACAGCATCTATACTTTGAGTGGAGCAAAGGAGCATGCATTATGAAATGACCAGACATGCTGTTTTGATCAAATTGTCTGCAAAAAAACAAACCTGACCCAAAGAATGTAGTTATTTAGGTAGTGAGCAAAAGACAGGACCAGTTCAGCTGCCACAGAATAGTATCATATCCCATTAAAATGAGGCATATCACACAGGAATGTTAGTCTGAAGATATCTTCACTGTGACGTTGCTCCAGCATAATATAGTGCATGTCACCTGTAGCCTGTACTATGCAAAATGACAATAACAGGTAGCAACAAGTACTGGCAGGGAACTATGACTGACACTTTTCAGCACACTGGTGCATTTGTCATTTTCATTTTAGCATTTCATAGCAATTTCAAGCACTTATTGCACTGACAAGGTTTTGCTTATTGATTTTAGATCAGTCAGGAGAATGTACTCATGCAGTTAAGAGACCGCTGCTTATAGCTGAAGGCTATTATTTAAATCTAGCCACAGGAGTACACTTTGCAATTACCACAATTTCAGACATACTGTAAATAACATACCAGAAAGTTTTTTTTTTTTTTTTTTTTTGGTGAGTTATTTTGGTAATTGCAAAGTTAGTTAACTCATTTAGTAAATAAAAAAACTGTAGCAAGCTATTTTCATACAGTATTTAAATGTAATTAATGTATGTAATACATATTAAAGTAAATATAGGTCAATATTTTTCATATTAATAAAAAAAATGCAAACCATAATGAAAGTTAGTATTGAGCTCAGTGTCTACCCCTTTAAACATTAGTATCTTTTTTAACATTAGAAATTTTTTATTTTCTATAATTTTACAGTAATATTCTGACACCCCAGCTGCCAGAATATTACAATTTTTTTAAACATTGTTTTTTACAGTGTAACACAAGTCATCATTTGATGTTCATGCTTGTACGAGTGATAATGTGAAGTGACAATACTATGAATTTACATATACAAACAAAACGAGATGATTATGTGTTACTAGCCTAAACTGAGTGCTGATGTATCCTGACTTGAGTTGGTTGCGTAAGAAACAGGCAGGAGAATGAAGGCCGACGAGTGCTGGTTTACTACTCAGGTTGTGACTGCTGCTCTACAGTAGGCTTATGCAGATCCCACAACACTACAACTCATCATTTCCAAGCACAGCATCAACTGTCTGCAGCTGAAATGCAATAAGCGTTCTCTGCTGGCCTCAAAACAGAGCGCTCAGCAGGACAGAATCCATCCTGCAGCTTGAAGCCCTCATTAAGATGCAAGACGCTGCATTTGCGACGTACCCTGTTAAACTCACAAATCCCTACCGATGGAATTTAAGCTGTTGAAATTGTGATGCGCTCAGTGCTTTTAAAGATAGAAATTTGTTATAGCCTACATGCAAAGTACAGTTCTACAAAGTCTGTGTGTCTGGGCGTGTGTGTCTGCATATCATTGTATATGAAAGACTGAGTAGGCAGAGAGATTATGAGTTCACTAATGTCACAAACCACTTCAGGTGGTTTACATGTGTCTTGCTATTGTGTTTTAGTGACACTACCAGTCAGGGTTTGGACACACTTTCCCAGGTGTGTTCAAACTTTGATCGGTAATGTACCTTAAACTTTATTATGGACACAGCAGTGGGGGATCTGTAGAACACAACACGGTACAATAAGTTAATTACTGTACACATACACATGCAATACACACACAAACATTCACTGTAACTAAACACTTGCTTAGAGGCTTGAATGCCCATGATTCCTTATTCTGGATAACAATCAGATGGACCCGAGTTCAGAGTTACAGCTAAGACAGGATTGTCTGTATATTTAGATAACCTACTGTACACATACATCTATATAGACAATTTCATGTTACAGCAGAGTGGGTGGGTACGCCAACATCTACAAATAACTGTCTTGTGCTGCAGCTTCTTGGAGCTTTAAATAACAGCCTCATACTTACTGTCATTACATGCGTTATAGTCTCTGCATGCTGCCTTTTCTGTAGCAGCACTGCAGGTGGGCAGTACACGGGTGGTTGTTGGGGGGGTAAAAAGTTTTGAATAGAGAGGTCCTCACGGTCACTGAGTACATCCTACTGTAAATTTATGAGCCAGCATTTTAGGTTGTGTGTGTAACTTTCAGCACTGTCTATAAATGTCCTTATCATCTGATAGATCATTGGGTAAATAATGACCCAAATATTTAATCTCATTTCACTCCTTAAGGGCAACACCAAGCAAGAAGGAATCAGGAAATACTAGTTTTCTGTTTTCCTTACTTCTTATAGTCATAATATTCTTATTAAGGTTGTGTTTGATGGGAGAATCTATACCATAGTGTACTGTGAACAAACCGTCAATAACTGTTGGGGAAACTACTTGGAAAATGTAGTTTTGCAGACTATCAATTACTTCACACTGGAGAAGGTTAAACTACAGCAAAGTTACTCTAGAGAGAAATGTTGTTCAGGAAACTTGGAATGTTTCTTAGAAAAAGCAGTTCAAACCTTATTGTAAAAGGTGATAAAACTGACTATGTGCATGTGATACAAAACATCATAACAGAAAACTCACATGCCAGCAAAAAGTGACACTCAGTTGAGCTTATTTACCTGAGACAAAAACCTGTCCTAAACAAAACTATCCCATCTGGGCTTTCCACAATGATGGCATATATTTCTTGTAAATAAATTATATAATTACACCTTGTCCATTTAACTGACTTTAGCACTGGTTTAAAAATATGAGCCTTTTGTGTTACTTGCCAGTTTTGCAACATCTGATTTCTAATGTTAAATGCGACTCAGTCTAATTTAACCAAGGAGGAGCTTAAAGAATACACTTTTGACTGATGCCTTGGTGGAAAGTAGTGAACTACCAACCGCCTTTTGGATAAGAACAACTCATGTGTCATATAAACAAGAGATTCTGCTCTGAGAAATAGTAGATAAGCCCATTTAGATCAGTGTTCAAACTGTTCATATGGTCTAAAAGGTATAAATTCAAGGCTGTTTTAGTTCTTAATCTATAGATTAGATTAGGTTAGGTTAGATTAGATTAGATTAAACTTTATTGTCATTACACATGTAACAACAACGAGTTTAGCATCTAACCAGAAGTGCAATAACAGTGATAATCTATAGCATCTAAAGAAGCATGGGTATCATCTGTACAAATGCAGTAGAGCTGATATTGTGTTTTCAGTACATTAACTTTATGTTTGTTTTGTTGCTATAGGTGCCAGTACAGGAATCTGTGGAGACCCAGGGATCCCTCCCCACAGTGCCCGTCTAGGAGGGGAAGAATTTAAAACCAAGAGCCTGCTGCGTTTCAGCTGTGAGGCGGGATATAGTCTGATTGGCTCTGCGGAGAGGACGTGTCTTCACAATGGCACCTGGAGTGGCATGCAGCCTTTCTGTCAAGGTGGGGGAGTGGTACTATAGTTGGTACTCTTTTAGAATCCTATAGTGCAACTCACACTTCAAACAGCATACACAACACCTTTTTTCATAGACATTTTCAGTTCCATCACAGAACTGCTCCTGCATTCTGTAGTACTGAGTGCCAAAGCCATGGCTTTCTCGTGGATATTTATGTTTGTATATCCTGTGTTCTACGTATTGTAGAAGCATCTTTTACTGGCCTTGTTTTATAGTAAAAGGCTTCTGTTAGTTTTATACAAGGGACTTGGGTGTGACAGCATATCCTTGAGACTGAACTATATGTATAGAAAACATCATACACTTGGATAGAAAGTTGTTTCATTTACCATTACCTTTGGGTTTCTTATAAAACACTGCTGTAAATATAAACATTGTTGTACAATGAAGCAGTGCAGATTTAGTAAACACCACAGCACATTTGTTATATGTGGACTTAGTTATTTAGATTTTTTTGTGAAAATAAATCAGCTTGGGGGGCCTCTAAACAGCTTCTTCTTCAGAGAATACAGTAGCATTAGGCTATTTGGCTTGTTAATGAGAATAAGCAACTAATCCACTACCAAACATACTGTAGGTGAAACCACATTATGACCATTATACACTGTACATTGTGTATGACAGTTGCATCAGAAAGTATTCAGAGCTCTTTGTTCTTTGCACATTTTACTGTGTTGCATATTGTGTGCCAATTTTGCCCTTCAATCTACATCCAGTATCCTTTAATGGTGCAAACATTTGAAAAATGTTTAATTTATTAAAAATCAAAAACTAAAATCTTCCATTTATAAAAGTCTTCATACCCTTAATGCAGTACTTTCTAGAAGACCCTTTGGCAGTAGTTACAGCTTCAGGATTCCTTGAGTAAGTCTCTACAAGCTCTGTACACCTGGATTTGTGCAGTTTATCCCCTTCTTCCTGGCAGATCTTCTCAGGCTCTGTCAGATTTGACGGGAAGCGTCTGTGGACAGCCATCTTCAGATCTCTCCACAGATGTTTGGTGGGGTTTAAGTCTGGGATTTGGCTGAATCACTCAGGGACAGTCAGAGACTTGTCCTGAAGCCACTCTAGTGTTGTCTTGGCTGTGTGCTTCAGGTCATTGTCATGCTGAAAGGTGAATTAGCGCCTGAGTCTTGGGTCATGTGCACTCTGGAACAGGTTTTCTTCAAGCACCTTTGTATTTGGCTGCATTCTTCATCCCCTCAGTTCTGACCAGTTTCCCTATCCCTGCTGCTAAGAAGACCACCACCACCGCCTCAAGCATAATGCCACCACCACCATGCTTTAGTGTAGAGATGACATTAACATGTGCAGGGATCTTAATACTGAAGCAACTGTGCATATAAATGTATAAATGACATTTACATATTGTTTACAGTACATGTATGCATTCAAATGTATGTTATTCATGAACTAAAGTACAATTAATACATGTATAGATAAATGTACTATTGCTAAATATATTGTTAAATGTATTACGTGTATAAGTTTAACTTCAGCTACATATGTTGTTCTTGATTTTGCACTTTCACAAGCTGCAGTTTTTAATTCGCACAGCAGCAAGACCCAAAAATAAACCTGATCTAATATGTCAGCAAAATACTAAAGCATCATTTTGTGCTCACATAATGTATAAGGTTTGTAGCAGTCGAAGTTTTTAAAAGTTAAGGAGTTTCAAGTTTGTGTGTTTGTTTGCATGTTTTCATCTGTGTGGCCCAGATACAAAGGATTGAAGCGTGTCACCCTTAACTCACTGAGCTGGATCTTCCACAGCACTGTGGTAATAATGCAGAGTGGTACATCCTATACAACAGCAGTTTTCAAAGACACTCTTTAAACCCATGGAGGTTTAAAGGAAATTAAAGTGGGTCCCCAAAGTGCTGTAGTGGCACTGAAATCCTAAGTCGCTGCCTGTGTTATCTTTCCTATTACTGACAGTGTTAGGTACACTGAATAAAACACGACTGACACTGACTCCATTGCGTTCTGACCAGACTTCAGATCAAGGTAGACAGATGAGCTGTACTAACAGTAATCTGAGTGGACTGGGGCAGGAACACTGAGTCATACCATTTTGGTGTACTCGTGTATGTAAAATTTTGTTCATTAATTTTGATCTGCTGATTTATTAGAAAAAGTCATGGCACTCTTCACAGTGGTACTACTTGGAAATTGATGTTTAAAATCACTCAGCATGTTAATAGAAATCCATAATGTTATTTTCTTTCTAGCCAGCAATCATTGTTTACAGATTGTGTCTCAATTCTTTAACCCTCTTCCAGCACAACAAGCCAACACTGTGGACAGAGTGTGGTTAAGACTGTTTGACAGTTAAGCACTGAGTTTTACTTGATTTGGCTACATTTACTGAATTGCTAACAAAATCTCACCCTCTAGCTTTACAGACACCCAAACACACACACACACACACACGCACACACCTTAGAGGTACTGTATATGTGTGTTTGTGTGCGTGCCAATGTCTGTGTTTGTGTAATAACTTATGTCTGTCTTGTTTTTCATTAAGCTAATAGTGGTGAAAAGCTGATTCAGAAAGGATGAGACATCTATCACTTGCAACACAAACACAAAGAAATCCATACACACATCCCGACAAATACACACCCAAATACAGACAGTTTCTCACAGCACTTACAGTGAAAACACACAGAAACAAATAGTAAGCTGCCACAGACACACACACACACACACACCAAAGAGCCTCGCATGATGTGCTCCACCCACACACTCTGTGACACACACACACTCTTGGACAGAGCTTTTAAGGCTCTGACTAATGAATCTCATCACTATGCGTTTGATTGTTACAGGTCGTTAGCTGTCACGATTTTATTAGTGAAATGTGCTGTGGTTGTTTGCTAATTCCTGTCTGTTAATGTGCTGTGCCAGCAAACTTGAGATGGATGGATCACTAGTTTAGACCTGAGACACAGTCCTTCTCCATCTGCATTCTTGTGTTTTACAATCTAACAGACCACCAATGGTTCAGACACAAAGAAAACAAGGATAAATGAAGACCCTAGCGCTCGCCAAAAAGACATTTTTCCGTCCCACAAGAAAGTGAAAATCTAAGATTCACTCTGAGAACAGCACATTATATTGGTCTTATTATACATACTGTTGAATCAGCTGTGAAGATGACACTGGTGTATCTAAATAGATTAATATATATTCTCTGTGCTCTCATCACTAAAATAAATTCTCCCCAAGATAATTTGGGAAGGACATTGCCCATGACTACTGACTGATAATCAGCTTCACAAAACCGTCTGCATGATGGCAGCATGGTGGCGCAGTAGCATTTTCACCTCGGAGCAAGAAGGTTCCAGGTTCTCGCCTTTCTGTTTGGAGTTTGCATATTCTCCCTGTGCCTGCGTAGGTTTTCTCCAGGTACTCCAGTTTCCTCCCACAATCCAAAGACATGCAGCTTAGGTTGATTGGAGACTCTAAATTGCCCGTAGGAGTGAGTGCAGGTGTGTGTGGTTGTCTGTCTCTAAGTGTCAGCCCTATGATAGACTGGTGACCTGTCCAGGGTGGACACCGCCCCTCACCCAGTGTCCGTTGGGATTGGCCCCACCCCCTGCAACCCTCTTTAGCATAAGCCATATACTGTAGATAATGGATGGATGGGTGGACTTTCTGCATGACTATTGCTGCTTCTTACTGTTATTTGTCATTTCCAAAACTGTTGGATATCTTAACAGAGTGATCTTATGAAAATCACTGTTGCATACCTATCTGCATATCTTGGTTTTTAACTGGAGGAAACACCTGTCCTTGGAGCATCTTATGCACTGTGTTTCTCAGTAGTATTTTGCCAGCTTTCTGCAAAAATCTGCTGTACATCTGCCATAAAATACTGGGAATCAATTCAACACCCTTTAGTTATTAATCATCCTCACTACCTCAAGGACATACAGTATTTTATGCTATTTCCCGCTGACTCCAGTGATCAGTCTTGAGTGACAGCAAAGCAGTATTGCTCACACTGATATTATCACTATGATTAATCACCACTGTTGAATATTTCCTAATTTTTCAGCTGTATCCTGTGGTAACCCTGGCACCCCAGCACACGGCAGAATTGTCTTCAGTGATGGCATCACCTTTGGCAGCTCGGTAGCTTATGCTTGCTGGGAAGGTTATAAAACATCAGGCCTGACCACCAGACACTGCACTACAAATGGGACATGGACAGGACAGCCCCCAGATTGCACTGGTAGGATAGGTTTCATATTATTGCTTAATTACTGATATTATAATTAGTGGTAAGACTGTGGGGTGCAGTCATTACTATAAAATTTTGCAAAGGTTGAACAAGCTTTATTAGCTGTAGCACTAATATACTACTATGAATAATGTCAGCGTTGGTACATGCATAGTCATATCTTTGTAGGAAAGGATTTGAGTAAAGGATTTGAGAGTAGCATAAATTGTTCATGGACTGAGCAGATACACTGTACAAAGTTGCTGTACAGGGGTTTAGGAGAAGAAGAAGAGGGTGGGAGGTGGATGTTAATGAAGCCAGTGTGTAAGAAAAGCAGGTAGAAGTGAAACATTGTTTTTTCAGAATATATGAAAGCACATCAATTTATAGTTACAGTAAAACATTAAATTATTAAAAGATTGAAAATGTTACTGCCCTGCTGCCCTACTGCTGGAGCAACACCATCTGACTGATGTATACTGTGCGTACATTATTTAAAAATTGTCCCTAAACATTCTTTCACTCTCATTAGTGGTCAGTTGTGGAGACCCTGGGCCTATAGCCAATGGGATCTATCTAGGAAGTGAGTTTACCTTCAACCACACAGTGACCTACCACTGTAACCCTGGACACCTGGCGGAGCCACCTGGACACAGCATTCTTCGCTGCACTAAAGATGGAACCTGGAATCAAACTAAACCCAGTTGCAAAGGTAAGAACATGAGTAACACCCTTAATAACTGCTTCTAAAGTGAAAGTAACAAACAAGAACATCAGCTTTTGTGTGTGCATAAAGATAGAACCCACAATGAGGCATCTGATTCTTGCAAATGGGTTTTTAATTTCCAGTACAACCCAACCAGCATTAGTTCTTTTGAAGCAGATAATCATATTTGTATAATTTGAAAATATATGAGATATGCTTTTTAAATAAAAAATAACCTTGTGAAACATAGCACTATCAGCAAATGTTTTTGTACATCAATAGTTTTTGAAAAATTAAATTAGCATAAATTAGAAATATCAATTTAAAAAACTTAAGAGTCAAAATAGGACTCAGAAATGTAAAAATTAAGCTTTTAAAGCGAAACTAAATTGAACTATACTGAACTATATACTACAAAAATCTATACAAGTGTCATGTGCTGTACTGTATTATAAACAGATGATACTGACATTCCATCACAATCAATAATTCATCTTTATGCATGATTGTATCTTTAATGTACTTCTTTGGGTTTGTCTATGAAATGCAAGCGAAGTATTATCGCTTTCAAGAGACTGTACCTGAATATCAAGTATATATACAGCATACCAAGAAATAATTATATTTGATACAATAATTAAACACCATAAACAACTTGGACTACAAGCAGAAAATGTGTCAGGTCTCAATGCAATAGTAATCTTAACTTATTATAGTTTTTGTAATAGAGCTGTGCACTTTCAGCAAAAAAGCCCCACAAAACATGTTGCAATTTAAATAAGAGCAATTATATTTCAATGCAAGCTGCCATACTAAAATAATAGATAGTTACTATAACAGTGCATTGAAAAGGGGGCAAGTAAAGGTCAACATTGTGCCTTACAATAACCAAGTTTTAAATTTAGGGTTTATTTCATGAAACCCTTGTTTTTCACAAACACAAAGAAGGAAATATAAAAGAATGCATTAAAGTAAAATGAGTCCGAGTTTTACAGCAACCCGTATTCAGAGATTAGGCTATGATATTCAACAAGAGTATAAAGGAATGCTTCCTGAGATTGTCCCTGCCGCTTCTTCCCACAAAAAGAAAATCTCCTGCTGGCTCCTGCAGTTGCAGAGGCTTTGAACTCAGATGAAAAAACTGAGAAAGCAGGCAGTGGGGCTACTGAGAGGGAACCAGAGAGAAATGCAGCAAGAGGGGAACACTGAGAAGTAAAAGCTGCTGTAGGTGATAGAAAATGAGACTTGGGTAGGAAATTGATAAGTCCAAATTAGAGGGGAAAGAAAGAATGGGACAGAGATGGAGATACAGGTGGAAAAAGGCCAAATGTCCTCCATCTCCTTCTGTTTCTCTTTCCTTTTCTCCTCTGCCCTCATTTGCTCCTAACTTTTCTCTTCCTCTCTATTTCTACTGATCACACCTTTTTGTTCAGCTTCCATATTTTCATCCCCTGCATTTTTCCCTCAAGTCTGATCTTGTTTCTTCACACACAAGAACATATTGAATGAAGAAGCTGTAATCTATAAAGGTGTAGCTCGACAGGGAAGATGAATCAAGTGAGGCTGAGAAACAAGGAGAACAATGAGGAGGAGGGATGGGGCAAGAGGGAGAGAAAGACAGACTGAGGGAGTTAAAGGAGGAGCAAGAAGGAGGAAGAATTGAAGGGATGAAGTAGTGGAAGAAAACATGAGAATAATGTAAAGATTAAAAGTTAAAAATTGGAGGTGGAAAAAGAAAGTCAGCCGAATGAATGAAAAAGGAAAAAGAGAATGTGATGAGCAATCAGCAGAAAGCGAGAGAGGAAGCGAGTGATGGGAGAAACAAAGAAAGGCAAATCAATACCTGCCCCCAAACCTGTAAACACACAGTGAGAGAGGGATTAGGCCCATAAAATGTGCTTGCAAGGTGAATTGCACCTGGAGAGATATGCCCAAAAGATGAAGAGAGGGAGAGAGAGGCGGTAATGATGTGAAAAGGATACCAAGAGAGCAGTGGAAGAGGATAAAAGAGGACTGGAGCTGGGACAGAAGGACGAGGAAGAAAGATGTGGGGAGGATGAGAAGGAGGACTGGAGGGAAAGATTGAAAAAGAAGCAGGAAGACAGATAGGAGGCAGAGGGCCTGTGGAGATGTGAGAGGAAAGAAGAGAGGGTGGAGAAAAGGAAAGGATCGCAGCAGCAGAAGGAAGAGCAGAGATGTGTAAGCAGGCAGGGATGAGAGTTACTCCTCCAGACTCATGTTTCAAATATTTTTATTTGGAAGAGCTCATGGAATACAAAATCAGAGCCTCATAAGATATCCAAATGCACTGCTTCCTTTCAAATATATGAGGCACAAACCAAATATACAAGCACTGTCAATAAAAACACATTAAAAATAGGAAGAACAAATACATACTGTATATGAAAGTTGAAATTAATAAGTTCCAACCCACCATCCCTGACAAGTGCTCTCAGGAAGTGCTAAAGATTACTGTATGTGCAGTACAACTGATCTGTTCACCCTGTTTCATATAAGAAATCATTGATCTGAAGATCTTTTCAAATTCTTCCAGACTCATGAGAGGCCAAGCTAGTCTGCTCACAACAAGGAAGAGACACAGAGAGAAAATAAAAGAGTTCAGAAACCTTCAATTACAGTCGAGTGTGTTCTTTGGGAATCAGAGACCTGCACAAATATTGGTCTGGATTATTTACTGCTGAACTCAATAAGTGCTTTATTCTAGGGTTTGATGCCAAACAACAAAGTTGTTTTTAGTGAGAAGAAAACATTTATTCTGTTATTAATTTCAGTCCCTGTTAGCTGCTGGTTAGGCTACTCTCTATTGTTCTTGCAGTCGCACAACAAAACATGATGAATGGCATGCTTTAAGAAAGTGGGATTTGCCATCGACTTGTGTGCAGGCTTGTGTGTGTTTTTAATTGCACTAACAACAAGCAGAAATAGAGTGAAGAAAAATAACATGGAAAAATGAATCACTTCTTTCAAGTCTGTGAGGATGACTTTGAGGAAATGCAGGAGTTTTTAAAGACATCTGACATACAATGGGGTCCAGAAACTACAAGGTAACCATATATATATATA